ACTACTCAAAATTTCTCCTACTGGTTCTCCGAACTACTCAAAATTTCCGCTACCGGTTCTCCGAACTACTCAAAATTTCCGCTACCGGTTCTCCGAACTACTCAAAATTTCTGCTACTGGTTCCCCGAACTACTCAAAATTTCCACTACCAGTTCTCCGAACTACTCAAAATTTCCGCTACCAGTTCTCCGAACTACTCAAAATTTCCGCTACCGGTTCTCCGAACTACTCAAAATTTCCGCTACCAGTTCTCCGAACTACTCAAAATTTCTGCTACTGGTTCTGCAGAACTGGTCAGAACCTGCTGAATACCACCTCTGGTATGGAGCCTTCTTAGAACAGTTGAAAGGACTGTGTTATAGACTGGAGATATGTAGATGATGTTGAGAGAGGTCTGTTCAATTTTGACATAGATAGATCTCACAAAATTGAACAGACCTCTTTCAACGGAGCGGGGCGGGGGATACAATATCATCTATCTCCAGTCTACAACACAGTCCTTTCAGCAGTTCCAAGAAGGCTCCACACCCATTTGCACCACTTAGGTGGCCCTGAGGACACAGATGAACCTCCAAGTGGCTTCCCTGACCCCCTAAAAGGATGCAAATGACCAGCTATCTACAAGGAATATAAATCCTTCCATTCCTCACCATCCAGTCAGGGCTGAAGAAGCTTCTTGGAGGAGAAGGGAAACGGTTTCAAAGAAAAACCAGAAAGCCCAGTTGCCTCTTGAAGACCTTTGGGACAACTACCATGACCTGGAGGACCGAGAATCTCCACAGGCATTTTGCTTAGTGACTATTCAACATTATAACAGATACCCAAAAGGTACTTATGACCTGGTTCTGGGGCTCTGATGGTGGCACAAACACACACACATAAACAAACAGACACAAGAATGTGCTTGCACACACACACACACATACACACACACACAACTACCTGATGGTCACATTACTGCATTTTGGCACTTGGCAACAGGCTTCATCACTGGAGACTTTCAAGAAGAGATTGGACTGCCGTTTGTCAGAAATGGTGTGGGGCAGGAGTCCCCAAACTTGGCAACTTTAAGACTTGTGCACTTCAATTCCCAGAATTCCATGCTGGCTGGAGAATTCTTGGTTGTTAATGGCTGTTAAGCAACCGCTTATAAGTCGAGGACTTTGATTGGAGGCCCTGATATTTGTATCTTGGTGAACTTATTTTTGTTGTTGCTGTTGTTGTTCCCCTCTTCTACTTACTGTAGGTGATTCTGAGCAGGAAGTGATGTTGAAAACCAAGATGGCGAAAGCCACCGTAGGCGGGTTGAGTCCCACCAAAGAATACACTCTGCAGATCTACATCCTGAACGGCTCCCGGGAGGCCCTGTTTGTCAAGAGGAAATTTGTGAGTAAGTGTGATTTCTGCTTCCTTTTGGTCCGTGTAGTTTACTATTAGCCAGGCTTGCTTTGCAGTTGTTGAGTGCTTGTCATGGGGTCCCTGACGAGCTTGGTTGTTTTCATGCGAACGTTTCATTACCCAACTAGGGAACATCATCAGTGCTAGAAGGGACTGGGGTTTGCGAGGAGGAGAAGAAAGAAGATTGTGGGGTCCTTGGTGCTCTCTGAGCTTGGTTCTTTTCTGGCAGACATTTCATTACACAACTTTATCAGTGCTAGAAGGGAGTAGGGTTTCTGAGGAAGAGGAGGAGGAGGAAGAGGAGGAGGAGGACTGTGGGGTCCATGGTGGTCTTTAACCTTGGTTGTTGTCTTGCAGATGTTTCATTACCCAACTAAGTAACGTCATCAATGCTAGAAGGGAATGGGGTTTTCAGGGAGGAGGAGGAGGAGAACAGGAGGAAGAGGAAGATTGTGGGGTCCTTGGTGCTCTCTGAGCTTGGTTCTTTTCTTACAGGTGTTTCATTACCCGAACTAGGCAACATCATCAGTGCTAGAAGTGAAGGATATTTGTTGGGGTAGAGGGAGGAGGAGGAGGAGGAGGTGGAAGAGGAGGAGGAGGAGGAGGAGGAGGAGGAGGAGGAGGAGGAAGAGGAGGAGGAGGAGGAGGAGGAGGTGGAAGAGGAGGAGGAAGAGGAGGAGGAAGAGGAAGAGGAGGAGGAGGACTGTGAGTTTCTTGGTGTTCTCTGAGCTTGGTTCTTTTCTTGCAGACATTTCATGACCCAACTAGGGAACATCATCCGTGCTAGAAGGGATCAGGGTTGGATTAACACTGTTCATATAAACTAGCATCTTGCTCTGTCAGTGATGGTTGGGTTGTTCTCGGCGGTGTTCCTCTATCAGGCTGTCGTTTACAGCCAAGAAACTACCAAGAACACTCACACCAACACCGACAGGGTAAGTCATTGCCTCCATCTAATTTGTTTGATTCTCTGGACTGTCTTCATTTTCACGTCGTTTCGGCTGTCACAGTTGAAGAACTGAAAAACCACTCCCAGGCCAGAAGCCACAGGAAGCATCCAACCAGTATCCCAGAGAAGGGAGGGATCCTACCAGTGGAAATCACTTCTCCTACTCCGGGTGAAACTTCAACTTTGATAGGTATGAACGGGGGTGACGGGAGGGGGAATACGGGCAAGTGAGTTGAGCTCCTAAAGATAAAGAACCAGTAGGTGGTATTCTAGCGATTCGGTCCGGTTTTGCTGAGCCAGTAGCAGCGATGAGCAGTGGAGACCAAACTGGTTTTCTTGGCCGCTCGGCTGTTGGGCCCACCTGCCCACCTGGGCTCCCATACTCGCTTTTATCTTCTGCTTTTGAAGCGCAGCTGCTTTGCGCGGCACAGAAAAGTGCCACGCGGCAGCAGCTGAAACGACTGAGAGAAGGCAGGCTTGTAGGAGGGGAGTCCAAATGCCTCTTGCGCCTGTGCAAAGTGTGTGTTTGGTGTGCACATGCATGCAAACTATGTGCATACGTTCAAAGTGTGCCCACCAAACCCCGCCCACCGAACCGGCGGTAAAAGCTCTTGAATACCACCACTGTAAAAAAAACCCTGTCATTTCAGCCTCATTCCTGATGATTACAGGTAGTCCTGGACTGGCAACCATTTGTTTAGTGACTGTTCAAAGTTACAATAGCACTGAGAAAAGTCACTTATGACTGTTTTTCACACTGCTACCGCTCCCCCGCGTAGCCCAAAATTCTTTTTGCTAAGTGAGACACTGGTTAAGTAAGTTTTGCCCCATGTTACAACCTTTCTTACCACAGTTGTTAACTTGAATCACTGTGATTATTAAATCAGTGACATGGTTGTAAAATGAATCTGACTCCCCCATTGATTTTGATCGTCAGAAGGTCGCAAAAGGCGACTGTGACCATCATAAATATGAGCAAGTTATCAAGCATCTGAATTCTGATCACGTGATCATGGGGATATGCAAACAGGTGTAAGCATGAAAAAAGTTCTTCTGTCACTTTTTTCAGTGCTGTTGTAACTTTGAATGGTCACTAAATGAACTATTGTAAGTCGAGGACTACCTGTATAAGTGTTGGAATTCATTGTTGGGATGTACAGGTAATCTTCGACTTACAACAGTTCAAACTTACAACAGCACTAATAAAGGTGACTTATGACCATTTTTAACACTTACAACCTTTGTAGCATTCCTGTGATCATGTGATCAAAATTCAGATGATTAGCAACCGTTTTTTTGTGTCCCGGAGTGATGTGATCTTCTGATGAGCAAACCCAGTGGGGCATCCAAATTCATTTAATGACTGAGTTACTAACTTAACAACCTCAGTGATTCACTTAACAACTGTGGCAAGAAAGGTTGTAAAATGGGGCAAAACTCAGTTAACAAATGTCTCACTTAACAACAGAAATGTTGGGCTCAATTCTGGTCGTAAGACAAGGACTACCTGTATTTCTATGCAACAACTACAGTAGTTTTCAGCCAGTAGATGGCAGTGTTTATAAGTTTGGATCTACTTTATGCTCCTTTTTTCTAAGTCAAGATTCCTGTTTCCTGTTACAGTTAACCAGCTCAGCAGTAAAGCACATGGTGACTGTACTCTTTGTTTGCTCTGAACAGAACAGAATTCCTAACAATCAGGATTCCTGCCTTGAGAAGGTAGTGGACTAGAACAGGGGTATCAAACACACCCAGTAGGTTGGATTCAGATAACAGATAATCAGAGTTGGGAGGGACCTTATAGATCATCGAATCCAACCCTCTGCCCAAGCGGGAGACCCTACACCATTCGGCCTGTGATGTGGCTGCATCTGGTCCATGAGGTCATCCTGGAAAATGTAAGAGGTCGGCCCATATCGCTTCAGCCCTGTCTACCCGCGTTGCTTTGGCTTGGTTTATCTGCCCTATCTACCCAGTGAGAAGAGGAAACATGCCAGCAGTTTGGGGAGTGGTGTCAAGCTGTCCATGCCTACCCAGTTGGCCACATCCACCCAGTCAGCCACACCCACCCATCCCCCTCCTCCTCGAGGTCAACCATAGCCCTGATGCGGCCCTCCATGAAATTGAGTTTGACATCCTTGGACTAGAAGACTTCCAAAGCCCCTTCCGGCCCTATGACTCCATGATTCCGAGGTTGAATCTCTTTGAATAAAGGTGTAGGCTCGCGACTAACGATCCTTCTCTTGATGATTTATAATATAGGAAGAGTTGATCCAGGGAAGAAAAGGCAAAACACCCCGCTTTTTAAGCCTGATGACTATATGCTCAATGCTGAGCCAACGTTAACGCTGCCAACCTTACCGAGCGTAATAGAGTTTGAAGAGGATTATCTAGCCCGAAGGAAAACGAGTAGCGACAGCTTCAGGAAAGGTGAGATATCTTTCACAGAGACTCTGCCACTCTTTCTGCAAAGTTTCATAGCCTTTTTGGCTGCTTGGTTATCATCAAAAAAAGCTCTGATTCTCCTTTTTTTTTAGTAATTTTTTTTTCATAAACATTTTGAATATAGTGTGTTGTCAGGGGATATCATTTACAGAAAAGCAAAGAAAGAACAAAAAGAAATATTAACATATATACTAACTAGCTGGATACCCGTGCTTTGCTACGAAACTATGTAGTTGTGCTTAGTTTTGGGGGAGGAAAATAAGGGGAAAAATTGTGCCTCTGCCTACCAGCGTCCATCGGTATTCATCTGGCTAGCGTCCTGTCAGTGTGTGAGAGAGTTGAGGGCTGTTTAGAAACTGAAACAGTATTTGCCGTGTGAGCAAGAAGGAGACAGCAAGGAGCCTGGGTGTGGCTTAGCTCAAATGTTCTGTACTAAAGCTGGTTGGTACTGTGAAACTAAAACGGAAACTCCTCTCCTCTGCTTGCGTTTTGCATTTGGAACAGATTTCTTTTCAGGTAGGGAGGGGGAGTAGAACTCCTTAGCATCAAAGCATGTTAATAATAATATACGAAATACTAACGCTCTGATGGTCACTTTGAAAAATCCTTTCTTAGTGAGCCCCTAGAAGCCAAGAGGAACATATGTGCCAAATTTCAAGTTTGTAGGCTTTATGGTTCTGGAGATTATGTGATGATGCATGAGTGGTATTTCGCTTTTATACATATAGGTAACAATAATAATAATGATGTAACAGACTAGCTTTGACTAGATTTCTCTTCATGTTACTTATTTGTAATTCTCTTGGTTATATTGGCATATTTATAATTATAAACCATCTTTATATTTAATTCATACAAAGCAGCAATCTTTCTTCATGTAATTTCTACCACTTATCTCTAACCACTCGTAAAATCTATTCCATGTTAAGTAGTATTCTATGTCTTCTTTGTCCTTTATTTTTAATGTCAATCTATCCATCTCTGCACAGTCGTATATTTTCCGAATTACATCCTCATCTGAAGGAGTGTTCTCATTTTTCCAATATTGTGCAAATACAATCCTTGCTGCTGTCAATCCATGCAAAACTAGAAACTCCCAAAAAACACCCTTTATCATAGCCCTCCAGCATTATACCCAACAAAAATATTTCTGGTTTTAGATCTATATGTTGTTTGATCAACTTTTCCAACCATGTATGTATTTTTGTCCAATATTTTGTTGCTTTCATGCAAGTCCACCACATACGATAACAAGACCTCATCTTATGTTTCAAGTTTATCCATTCTTTTGCCCATGTAAGTACAGATGCCTGATAATATAGCTCCCAATCTGATAGTCCAAAACCCAGTGGTGCAGGGGTGGGATTCTACCAGTTTGCACCTATTCGCTAGAACTGGTTGTTAACATTCTAAGCAGTTCGGAGAACCGGTTGTTAGACTGGTCTAATCCTGTAAGGAAGGCAGGAAGGAAACATTCTGGTGTTGCTTACAGAAGCTGCCTCTCATTAACCCTTATTACATTCTTGGCAGGACTAGACTTCCTGTCTCAGAAACCTCTCTGGAGTTTTCTTTCCCTCTTTAGCTGGTACTTTGCTTGTGTGAAGTAACCATTCAAAGTTACAATGGCACTGAAAAAAGAGACTTATGACCGTTTTTCACACTTAAGACTGTTGCAGCATCCCCACAGTCATGAGAAGCCAGGCGAGGAGATGCATGCCTCGATGTGAGTGATGTTGAGTTGGCCACGCCCAGCCAATAACATGACCACCAAGCCACGTACACCCAGTCACATGATCACCAAGTCACGCCCACCAACTAAGCCCACAGAACCGGTTGTTAAAAAATTTGAATCCCAACTCTGCAGTGGTGGGATTCAGCCAGTCCGCGCCAGTTCGAGAGAACCAGTTGTTAAATTTCTAAGCAGTTTGGTGAACTGGCAGTTGGAAGAAATCATTAGGGTGGAGAACCGGTTGTTAAATTATTTGAATCCCACCACTGCCAAAAACCCCATTCTTTTTAGATTCCTGTAACATTTTCAGTTTTATTCTTGCTTTTTTCCCTTGCCAGCTATACTTCAAGATGGTTCTGCTTAGTTCTTTAAAATATTTTTTTCTCTATTTTTATCAGTATCGTTTGAATAAAAAAAAGTAGTTTCGTTAGTATATTCCTTTTTATAGCGGCCATTCTCCCTATCAAAGATAATTGTGGAGGAAAAAAGGCTATGGTTCTCCTAATCGCCTTATCATTTTATCATGCATCGGGTTATATCATAAGTCATTACCATTAGAGAATCTGTGTTTCAATTACATATGTTTTTCATGGCGAAGATTCGGGTTGGAAGAAGAATAGAATAGCAATAGTGTGTGTATTGTATATTTCTGGTGGCAGAGGGCTCAGGTTTTAAAAACGAGACACGGTGACATCTATGCAAAGCTCTTCCAGTAAGTGCATCTTAATTCCTTGGTCGAGGTGCCGATTTTAACTTTATGATATATGACAACTGAGGTGGTGGAAAAAGACCAATGTCCCACATTAGAGACAATGAGATGCGCACAAATGTGAAAGGCACATTTCATGATGAGATCTGACCTGGAGAGATCAGGGAGGTATTTTAGCCTGAAGAGACAGCGGATACATGTTAATTTCGCATGACCGGAAGTTGTTCGCTTCTAGGGATAACACAGGGCGGGGATAGATTGGCACCCTGATGGAATGCGGGCAGGATTGTGTTTCCAAAAAGACTGGAGAATAGGGGTGTCAAACTTGATTTCATTGAGGGCTTCATCAGGGGTTGTGATTGACCTCAGAGAGCTGGAGGCGGTATGTGTGGAACATGGCCGAGGTGGGCGTGGACACGGTGGACGTCACACGAGACTCCTAGTGGGGGGGATACCTGTGGTAGCCAAGTGCTAAGACAGGACTTTCCTCAGACCCTCCCTCCCTCATTATAATCTCCTTCCTTCCTTCCTTCCTTCCTTCCTTCCTTCCTTCCTTCCTTCCTTCCTTCCTTCCTTCCTTCCTTCCTTCCTTTTCTTCTTTTTCCTTCTCCTTTCTTCTTCCTTCCCCTCTTTCCTTCTTTGTCCTCCCTTGCTCTCTTCCCATCCTTTCTTGTTCTTCATCTTTCCTCTTTCCCTTTCTCCTTTCCTGTCCCTTCTTGCATGCTCAAATGCAAAAGGGAAAACATTTCTCCTTTTGTTTTGCTTTTAGTTTGTTTTTGATAGCCCTCTGCCAACAAAAATGGGACAATCCCCCCCCCCCAGTCGTTTGCTATTTCCAGGCCAGCCCCATGGGCCAGATCTAAGGCTCCTATGGGCCGAATCCAGCCCACAGGGCTTGAGTTTGACACCCCTGCTGTAGAAACAAATATGGCTGGTTTAATGGATCCAGTTAAATAGTGTAGGAAGAAAAATCCAGTTCCAAGCTGGGAATAAAATGGAGGCTGCTTTAGGAAGGACGTTTATTGATGAGTGGAACCAACAATCATAGCGTGTGGGTTCTGGGACAACTGACCAACTGGTTGAACGAGTGGATGGATCTTTATAGGTTTCTGTGGCTTTGAAGTTTGAACCGTTCTTGGGATTGTGCAATGAAGGGGGGCTTGTGGGTCTCTTGCTATTTCAATAGTGGTGGATTAATCCTATTATGTTCTTAAAGGTCACATCCTGTCCTTCTTAATCCCATCAACTAGAGCTGAAGGTGCCTTGTTTGTGAATAGATTGGCCTGGATTTCTCAATGGGCACAAAATCTCCATTCATCTCTAAAGGCTTCAGGCATCTACTGGGGGCTGTTTTTACTATGCAGGAAACCGGGTCTGCTTTCTGCCTTTAAGAACATGTTTTCTCTATTTCTCCTTTGGGGAAATGTAATATTATGCCTCTTTTGATATTCCCTTAAATATTTCATTCTCTAGGAGTGTGTGTGGGGTGGGAGCTTCCCACAATTGGCAGCTGTTTTAATGAGTCCATGCATCCCAGCAATTGTGTCCTTCCCAGGCTCACCTGGAAGCCTAAAATATTGCTAATCATCCTTCAGAAAGAAAAAAGAGTGGTGCTGTGGCCAGCTCTCGCCTCATAATCAGGAGGCTGTGAGTTCGATCCTAGGTGGAGGCAGATATTCCTCTCGCTGGGCACAATGAGAATATATCTGCCGAACAAAACTCTGCATTGGTGACAGGAAGGGCAACCAGCCAGTAAACACTTAGCTCCATTCAGTTGCCCAGATTCCACCCTGCAAGGGATTATGGGTTCATTAAAAGGAGATGATGATCCTTCAAAAAGAAAAAAAAAATGCATGTTTTGAGGTCCACCTTTTTTCTAATTACTCAAGCCAGGAGTTTTTACAGATGGGGAAAATCAAAATGGTGGGTGCAATTGGGCAATCGAAGCCCCCGTTCTTTTATAATGTCAACCACATTATAAAAAGGCAATTTTGACCCTCTGGTCAAAACACATTATCCCACCCCAAAGCCTTTTCTTTCTTAAAGAGAAGACAACAGAAACGGATTGCATATTGAAGCCAGCAAATGTTTCAGTTCACGTGGTCCTTGATTTACAGCCATTTGATTGTTCAAAGTTACAGCAGCACTCCTTCCCCCTCCCCTCCCCTTTCCTCTTCCCTTTCCATTCCTCCTCTTACTTTCCTTCCTTCTCCTCTCTTCTTTTTCCCTTTCTCCCCCTCCTCTCTTCCCTTTTCCTTCCTTCCTTCCTCCTCTTCCTCCTCTTCCTTTTCCCTTCCTCCTCCTCTCTTCTTTTTCTCCTTTTTCTCCTCTTCTTTTTCTGCTTTTCCTCTTCCTCTTCTTCCTTTTCCCTTCCTTCTCCTCTCTTCTTTTCCTCTTCCTCCTCTCTTCCTTTTTCCTTCCTTCCTTCCTCCTCTTCCTTTTCCCTTCCTCCTCCTCTCTTCTTTTTCCCTTTCTCCTCCTTCTCCTCTCTTCCTTTTTCCTTTCTTCCTTCCTTCCTCCTCTTCCTTTTCCCTTCCTCCTCCTCCTCTCTTCTTTCCTCCTCCTCTCTTCCTTTTCCCTTCCTCCTCCTCCTCCTCCTCCTCCTCCTCCTCCCCATTTCTGCTTCTCTTCGTAGTTTCCCATTTCCATTGTGATACCTCTGCTGCGACTGATATTATCCTGCTGGTGGATGGATCTTGGAGTATCGGACGCAACAATTTTGGACTCATTCGAGAATTCCTGGCATCTTTGCTGGCACCTTTCAATATTGCTGAAGATAAGATCAGAGTAGGTGAGTAGCTTTTTTTTTTTTTTTTTGCAGCCATCAAATTCAGGAATTATTCAGTTTTGGAAAAAACAATGTTTTCTACCAATCCAAGAAAGCAGCAACATTTATCATTATGGCAGAGACTCTTTGATCTCTTAAAATCATTTCTTTCATTGTTTCGATAGTAGTGAATTCACTGGTAATTGCAACTCAAGAAAATGTTGCGACAATAGAAAAAGTCCAGACTTAGAAGACACAGCTTTTCAAAGAATTCAGGAACAATTCTTATTGCTGTTTTACATCCTCCAGGGATAGCCCAGTTTGCTTGCTTTTTTAAAAAAAAAAATAATTGAAATGTTTAATGATCATTACTAAAATCTCAATTTAAAAAAAAGGAAAAAGAAAAAGACAGAAAGTACATGCAAAGGAAAAAAAAGTTATTTTAGTGACATTTTAATAATCATACTAAAAGTAATGCAAACTAAACCAGAAGGAAAACAATATAGAAAAAAAAGAAACAAGTAGAAGAAATATTTTAATAATCAAATAATAATAGTATTGAAATTTTCAAAAAACAAAGTAAAAACTAATACAAACTAGATTAGAGAAGGAAAAGTGCAGGGAAAAAAAACGCAAGGAAAAAAGAAAACAGAAGAATTTTAATAATAATTTTATTTCTTTTCTTTATAAAGAAACTAATACAAACTAAAGCAGAAAAACTGCAGAAAGTGCAGGAAAAAAGAAAAGAAAATGGTTTTACTGGATTTTTTAAACAAACTTAGCAAAAATGAATACAAACTATATTTAAAAAAAAGAAAAGACAAGAAAAGGGCAGAAATTGCAGCAAAATGAAAGAAGAAAGAAGTAGAAAAAAGAGTGGAAAACCCCAGTTTTCTTTCTCACCGCTTCTCCTTGTCATTTCTGCCAGGTTTGTCCCAATACAGCAGTGACCCACGGACAGAATGGGATCTGAATACGTATTCCACCTGGGAACAGGTGTCCAAAGCCATTCGGAATTTGCGCTACAAAGGAGGGAACACTTTTACAGGTGAATGAATGAATGAATGAATGAATCAATCAATCAATCAATCAATCAATCAATCAATGAGTTCTTTATTGGCCAAGTGTGATTAGACACACAAGGAATTTGTCTTCGGTGCATATGTTTTCAGTGTACTTAAAAAGAAAATACATTCGTCAAGAATCATCAGGTACAACACTTAATGATAGTCATAGGGTACAAAAAGGCAATTAAATCATATTAGGAAATAGCCAATACAGAGGTGGTATTCAGCAGGTTCTGACCAGTTCTGAAGAACCGGTAGCAGAAATTTTGAGTAGTTTGGAGAATTGGCAAATATTGCCTCTGACTGGCCCCTCCCCCTTCTATTCTCTGTCTCCCATTGAGTCCCAGCTGATCGGTTGAGTCTTCTTTTGTTGCCCTGCACAGGACAACTGAGCTGGAAAGCAGGTTAGTAGGGTGGGGAGGGAATGGGTATTTTGCAGTATTCTTCCCCTGCCATGCCCACCAAGTGACAACCACCAAGCAACGGAACCAGTAGTAAAATTTTTTGAATCCCACCGCTGTTCTAAGGGCATGCTTTGCGCATGTGTGCAGGGCTCAAAGACCGCCTGCTGCATCAATGCTGGTGAGCTGTGCTGGTTTTTTTTAGCTCAGCTGAGGTGCGGCCATCTGCTCTGTCACGTGAATCAGCTGAGGTAAAAAAACAAGGGAATATAGGAGAGGTAATGGCGGTGGCAGGTGGGTGGGCCCAGCCAGAGGTTGTCAAGCCTGAAATTGACCTATGTGTAGCCATTTTAGTTAGGCTTAGTATATATTCTTTTCTTACTTTCTCTGTGGCAGTCATGGGGGGGGGGAGGGTTTCGGGCTTGCCACATTCCTAAGGAGTGGAGATAAAGAGAGTTGTTTTGGCTAGGTGGTTCTTCTTCCTGTGGGAAAACAAGCTGTCCGTGCTTAGGCCCCTTGAAGCAGAGATTTATGACATCAAACAATGTTGAATTACTTCTATTGGGGAATGTGACTTTTGGGGGTTGTTTCTAACTTCTAATATTGTGGGGTAATTCTGGGTTGTGTCAGATTCAGAATTACCATGGACTTCACCAATTTGATGCTTTCCTAAATAAAAGAAATTGTCTTGGAAGATGGACTTTGTTCTTTTCTTTTTTAAAATGGATTTCATCACTTGGAAACCTGACATTA